GGCAGCCGAGGCTCCATCTTTGTTACTCCGTGCTGCCTTTTGCCCGACTCGGGTGTCAGCGCCGCAGGCCTAGGTAGATGTATGTCAGGCGCGTCTCAGCGTAACAGTGTTTCGTGAGATATCGCAAAGCCTGTTACGCGAGACGTGGTCTGGCGTATATCTACCTAGTTTTCGGTTAGGCCCCTATATAGCGTTTGGAATGGAGTAGGTAGTCGTCACCAATAAAGCATTCCGGTAAAGCTGAAATGCAGAAGAATACGGGGAAGAAGAAAACGGAAGTCACCATGTTAAAGCATAGCGATTTCCGTTTTCTTCTTCCCCGCATTCTTCTGCATTTCAGCTTTACCGGAATGCTTTTTACGAATTATTTATATTACGGGCGTGGAGCCTCCAGCGGGCATGGAGCCTACCGTGGGCGTGGATGCCCACATCCCGGAACCCCCCGAGGTCTTGCTGGACAGGGGCGTGAAGGCTACCGTGTGCGTGGCTTCTGGAGCGGGGTGTGCCCTTGGTGGTAGTCCTGTTTAGTAGCCCTCATTTTTAAAAGTGTTTTCCTAAACTTTTTTTATTGGCTGAGTTTCGGTTAAAATGAGTAGTCCTATCGTCTTCGGTGTGAAAAATTAACTCCCTACCACACAACTTTTATCAAAAATAACACCAAGCTAAGGGCGTTTGAGATATTTTAGCGACTAGAGGCTTCTGCTTTGTTATGGTTTCGCCGAATGGGGTAAGGTGCTCATCAGAAGTGACGGGCCTTCGGCCGCTGGCAGGCCAAACTAGGCCCGCTCTCTGCCGAACCGAATATAGCATTCCGGTAAAGCTGAAAAGCAGAAGAATGCGGGGAAGAAGAAACCGGAAATCGCTATGCTTTAACATGGTGACATCCGTTTTCTTGTTCCCTGCATTCTTCTGCATTTCAGCTTTACCGGAAGGCTTTATTGCCGGTGGAGCGAAGTGGAGCTGGCAACTTGGTTTCGCGGAACAGGGGGCCTAACTTGTTTTCGGTGAAGAGGGCTTTTCTGTCGCTTAGCCAATGACGCTAGAAATCTTTCGTATACCGACACCAATCACAAAATCGGTGTTAGGCTGTGAGCAAGAAACCTCATATTCAGAGGGACATTCCCACCTTTACTCAGCCAGCGCCATCCAAGTTGACGGATTGACTCGGAAGATGGGGGGGGGGGGGGGGCTGTGGACTGTCTTAGGTCATTTGCCCACGCCGACGCCGCGCAAAACCCCAAGGCCACTCATCGAGGTGGGGACGAGACATGAATGGCACCCACCGCGCCAGTCTCTCCGCCGCAGCTCGCGGGGCATGTTCTGTACGCGCTTCTGCCAGAGCACGCCCGGACCGGCCGGTCCACTGCACGCCCCGGTCAGACCAGTCGTTCTCCTTGACGGTACAGCATAGCGACTGTTATTGTTTTCGCCCAAGTTTGCGAAAAACTTGCGTGTCCTCGGTAGGTTATGGTGTTTCTGCGTACGGGTAAGTAATCAGGGGACAGGGGGATTGTGATTAAACAAGCGGGGCCCGCTCTTCGCTCTTCCGCAAAACCGAGTTGCTGGTGGAGCGAAGCGGAGCGGCCCTCGCTGGGCCTGCCGGCAGCATTTTGTAAGGGTCTTCGGTCCGTCTTCTTAGAGGTATTCATAGTGCTGTGCAAGAGTAGCTACATGTAGGCCACGTCTCGAGTAACAGGCTTCGCGATATCTCACGAAACACTTACGCTGCGACGCGCCTGACGCACATATAGCTAGGCCTGCGGCGCTGACACCCGAGACGGGTTAATAGGAGTGTATAGACAGTGTTTGGGGTGTTAATTTTTGGAGTATTTTTACACAATGTAATCGACCATTTCGTCATTTTCACCTCATTTTTGTCCAGAAATGCCCCTTATCACCCAAACGGTACAAGATAGAGCCAAATGGATGACAGATTCTCCAAAAGGTTTCTACTTGAACGAGTATCCCCTCAGGAGCCCATAAAAATATTTGACAAAGAAAAAAATATTCTGCGATCTGTGGTTTTTGATTTTTTTTTAAAGTTTATTTTTGAGCCAGAATGCTCATCTTCGAACTTGATCCGTCTTTTTAGGATACAAAACGACCCTGAAATACCCAGATCGCTCTCTCAATTATTTCTAGCGTTATCGTGCGGACAGACAAACAGAACGAAACTTTTCCGGTCAGTGGAGTAACGGGCTTCGATAATCGCTCAGCTAACTATCTGTATGTACGCAATACTACGTCTCGCGTAACAGGCCTCGCGACATCTCACGAAGCACTGTTACGCTGCGACGCACCTAGCGCACATATATCTAGGCCTGCGGCGCCCCGACGAGTTAAGGAGAGGGTATCGGGGAACAGGGTTTCCGGACCCAAAATTTGACAAACTCGAACCATTTGTCGAGGTGTTTTTACTCAAAAATTAGGGACATGAAACTTGTGCTGTTCGGTAACGGTTTCCATTAAAAGTTCGAATTTTGACAGATTGCTATGTAAAAACCAACGTTTCAGTGATACTAGAAAATCTAGGGTCCCTTAAGCCCAAAAGAGGGTGTGGTTCGACCCGTAATGTGTGGTTTAAGTATTACTCCCTTTACAATTCTGTGACATGAAGCCTCTTTTACGATTGAATAGACTATTTTGCCTTTTTACGTTGTTTTCGCCACACAAATTCTAACCCATTTTTATACTCATTTTTTGGCAATTTGTTTAACTATTTCGGAGTGGAATTTCAAAAAACCCTCCTGTCAGATCCTAGCTACATGTTTTAAGAGAATCAAGCAATATCAGTGTTGCAAACCCAACGGTTCAGGCACAATCGTGCACACCGCACCGCTCAGTGGCCAAATTGTAGGGCCATCCTTTCTTTATTGGCTGAGCGATTAGCGAAGCCTATTACTCCGTCTTGTCGGTAACTTTTTCTGTCTGTCTGTGTGTCTGTGTATCTCTTCGCACGAAAACTCGAAAACGAATTGAGCGAGCGACCTGGGATTTTCAGGGTCGTTTTGTGTCATAAAAAGACAGATCGAGTTCGGAGATAAGCATTCTAGCTCAAAAATTGCATTTTTCAAAAATCTCCAACGACAGGTCCCAAATATGCTGTTTTTAAAAATATATTTTCATGGTTTCCTAAGGGGTCTCCCATCAAAGTAGAGCTCTGTGGACGAAAATTTTGTCCGTTTTGCTCTAGCTCAAACCGTTGAGGCGCTAGAGGGAATATTTGAAGAAAATAATCGAAAAAATGTACAACCCTGCATGCTTAGTCGAAGTGACGGGCCATTGACGGGCCGGAGGCTCGTATCTTTGTAAACATTTTTGCTCTACCCGACTCGGGTGTCAGCGCCGCAGGCCAAGGTAGATGTATGCCATGCGCGTCGCAGCGGAACAGTGTTTCTTGAGATATCGCGAAGCCTGTTACGCGAGACGTGGTCTGGCGTACATCCACCTTGTAATTTCAACTTTATTCTCAATGTTAAGCCAACTGTCTACCATGTATACACACAAGGAAAAGCGTGCCTGCAGGTATGCACAAGCGCCTACCTCGTCGACGGTTACCAGGCATATGAATGCCAGACCACGTCTCGCGTAACAGGCTTCGCGATATCTCACGAAACACTGTTACGCTGCGACGCCCCTGGTGCACATATAGCTAGGCCTGCGGCGCTGACACATGAGACGAGTTTATGGGAGAGTATACGGGGACGGAGCCTTAATAATGACCTCCAGCGCCTCAACGGTTTGAGCTAGAGCAAAACGGGCAAAACTTTCGCACATAGGGCTCTACTCTGATGAGTTACCCCCTAGAAAACCATACAAAAAATAATAGGGTATCCCTCTAGAGCGCGGAGCGGAAGTAAGAAGAACAAAAGCGGATACAGAGAGCAGTGGTGGGGGCGGGCGCGCGGAG